GTAATAATGTTAATAATGTGGTCGATGTGTATGTCATGGATTATATACAACTGTGCCCTCAGCCGAGCCGGTATTTTACCGAAACTTCTTGCGGCAAACTTTTTGCAACCATTAAGTCGACTGTCATTTTGTGCCTATTTATCACATCTAATGTTAATCTGGTTTAACGTAACACAGATTCGCAGTCCAATCACTACTAATATCATAACTATTGTAAGAAATTGATTACTATATTATTTAAATAGGGATTTTAACTAATTATTTGGGGAACATTAGGGTCGCTATTATTGTGCTATAATTGTGGAGACCTTTATGTTGGCACTGGTATTATACCTAACATTTGAGGCGCCGTTCGTTAACTTAATGAAACTGGTATTTATGGGACGCAAGAGGAGTGGGAGACGTGTGACCGTCGAGGAAGACATCGATCATTCAGTTAATTCACAAAACACTATAAATATAAATATGAAAAATCAAAATAACAACAATAATGCAAATGCCAACTCAAATATAACCGCATTTTAAGTATTTTTGATAATAATTTTTGCATTTTGTGTAAACTTTGAAAACCATTTCCGACATTAATAATAAATATTAAGTGTTTTTGTGTAAAAATTTCTGTCATGAATTAAATTGTTTGTACTGTGTTTTAGGTTGCATTCAATTATTATACTTGTAATTCATTATGAAATGTTAAATAGTATTTTCAAAAACTTAATTATAATTATACAGAATATGACTCATAAATGATAGTAATATATAATAACAGATTTGAATGTCTCACACACTCATTGAATGAATTAATCATAACTATTTTTAAACATTGAAAGTAATTAGACGTCGGGATGTGATTGTGTTTCGCTGCTGTTTAAATAATAATTACAAAAGTAATGAATCATTCAATGAATACTCATAAGAAACGGAAACTCAGTTAATTTGCAAAAAAATCTGTGTAAATTGAGAATTTGTTAAATATTTTGAAATATTATTTAAAATATGGTAAATTGTCTGAGAATAGTAGTGATGAGTCTGATATTAAAAATTTATTTTAATCAATTGAAACTCTATTAATTACAATTTATATATAAAATATAATATCATAGCTATGATTGCATAGTAAGTCAAAGGAATTTCTCACAATTCGTGTTGAAATGGTAATCGAAACGATTCATTAAATTTATTTACTTTCATGAAAGAGTCATTTGAATGGAAATCATGCACTAATAAAAATATTTTTCCAAGACTTTGGTAATATAATAGTCTGTATTACGAATCTTTAGAGTAAACAATAAGTATAAAACATTGCATTTGAGTTATAAGATCATCAGAAAATAATTTAGTTTTGACTGAAAATATATTTTTGTTTGTTTAAAATAATTTTGAAGATCATATCTGAACATGATTTGCAAATTGTTGCTGAATATATTGCTGGTTATAACAGTGGTTGTGAATGATTGGGTCAGTTGTGTAACAATGGGTGGCTTTGAAGCGCCTAATACTGTGAAAGCCGGCGATAATCTGACGCTGAACTGCACCGTTACCTTCACTCCTGAGGAGAGACTCAATTCAGAGATATCTATGACTAAAGACGGACAGGAGTTCTATCGATTCAACAGAAAATGTATGAATTAATTGTTAAATATACCTTGATTATTATGAGTATTTTTGTTTTAATGTAAAAATAACTTGTATTTTATATAGCAATGAATGAGGAATTAAAGTCAATCCCCGGTATCGACAGCAAGCAAATGGACACACCGATGAATGTGCCAGGGTGGGTCAGACTCAAGAATGCCAATCTCCACTTCCAGGGCACCTATGCCTGTGTTGTCATCACTAATATCAATAACAATCTGAGCGAACAATCTATGAATAAATACGTGACTTTCGACCCATCAATGGGTGACTATCCGAAGAATGGCGCACCAAATGTCACTACTTTCCCCGCATTTACTTGTTTTGCTTTCATTTTATTTTTCCTTTTTGTTTAATATTTTATATTTAAATGTCATTTCACTTTTATTGCTATATTTTCTAATACACACTAGACTCATATTACACATTTATTACACCTATATATTTTACATATTAATAACAATTATTTAATTAAATATTTTTATAGAAAATATTGCACAAACATTATGTCCATTAAAAATAATTAATTTAATAAGTTTGTATTTTTTGTATTTAATTAATGAAAATAGAATATCATTTAAATTCGCTGATAATTTATAATAATTATTTAGGTGTATCTTAAGTAAATGATTTTATATCCGGGTGCAAGAAGTTAGCTTGTTATTTATTGTTCTGATATGTTATGGATGTTATTGATCTGTTATAACTAATTAGACCACAAATTAATTAAAATTATTTTACCAGTACCATTATTACGAATAAAATCAATATTGAACGAATATGATTATATTTAACAAATAAGTTATTTTTTGATTGAGTAGGAGTTTAAAATAAAGGGAAATGTACAGGCAAAATTCATTTTGTCAATAAATACAATAAATAAAAGTTTTCTAATATTAGTATAAACAATTAGTATAATTTGTTTTGTTGACATCATTGTTTGAATTATGCAATTGGTTTATGTCCAATAGTATACAGTATTAAAAATTAATTTATCCAATATAAAATATACATTATAACTTAACTTGTGTTGAATGAATAATTAATATCCATTTAAATAATTATGTTTTTACAATGAAATGATGTTCATAATATCACAGTATTTTTTGTACTCATAAATTAGACAATTGTTATATTTTATGAATGAGTTTATTTATTTGTAAGTTTAGATTAAGTGCAGTTCAAGTGTTAATTTTCTGATCATTTGAATAAAGATTTTATGAATTGTATTTATTATTATTATTTTTAAAAATGTTAATTAAATTTATTATTTAAGTTATTGTTACTATAGGGTAAAAATGGAGTTAAAATTAGCAGTAATACCGGTAAGTATTTTTATATTGTATAACCAGAATTTATTATTTTAAATATTTGAAATGATTTATATACGACTAGCAATTTCCACTCATGTATTTTAACGCCAAAGGTGAACTTAATGGCACCTTTCTTGACTTTCTTGATATATTAACAAATAAATTTAATATTAGGTAATTAATATTGTTCAATTTAATATTTAGTAATCATTGTATAAAAGATTTTTAACATTTATATTATTTGAATAAAAGCCATAAGATAGTGCGACCAAATGCACCAAATCATGGTTGGCTAGAAGTGATTGAAATGCTAATGGATAATGTAAATTATAAATAATTGTATTAAATTATATCAAATTCATTTAATAATTATGTACTCAACCATTTACCCAGGAGGCCGATATGTCATTAGCAACGATAATACCTAATTACGATCGACTCAAAAATATGAGTTTTTCTACGATTATGTTTTTTGGTGATTACGTCATATTAAGTAAATCACATGAACAAAGAGCTAATAGTAATATCCTGGATCATTTGAGTTATATCAAGTGGGATGTTTGGCTCGCATTAGCATTCATTTGTCTCATCATTTTATTGCTTAGTATTTTGGATACATATCTCTTTGAAAGTATAAGACAAGTAACATGTTGGAATATTATTCGTATGCATTTCAATCAAAGTAAGTTTGAATTGTTATACATTTTAGACATAATATGTCAATTTTATTTTGATTAAATTTTTAAATTTTATTTATTTTAGATTACCTGGTACACTTGGAGCTAAACTCAATAACAGCCATACTATCACTGTACATACTATGCTATACTTTCATATGTATATTAATGAACCAATTAATTGTTATCCGAAGTGTGGTGATCAAGCGATCGGATGAGATTAATTCAATCAAAGATTTAGTCAATTCAAAGGGAACCATACCATCTATTTATAAGTCAACAACACTCGAGCAGTATTTTAAAGTATGTTTACATTTCTAACCATTTGGTCAATTGTAAGTGTTTATAAAAATTCTTAAAATTATCATCAAATATTTGAAGGAACAGGCAGAAACTCAGAAACCGTTTCACAACCAAATCTGGCCGTTGATTGAAGACCATAAAGAGGTGTCATTGCGTGTAATACCGGCCAAATTGAACGAAGAGGCCGTTGGTTTTGATGGGGTTTTCTTTAATCATCTAAGAAGTGGTCGGATAGCCATGTTTGAGCCCGATTATCTCACTGAATTCATCAAGGATGTCTACTGTCGCAAAGTAACCGATATAAAGTGGCATATGTCACCACCCATTGATGTATCACCAATTAGATTTGCGTTTGGATTTAGCAAACATTTAGCCAAGGATAAAATTAAAAGAATTAATTTTATGTAATTATAAAAACAATTATAAAAGTTATTTATTTGTGATAATTCTTGTATATGTGTTGAACAGTATAGAGAATCTGTTATCCAATGGACTGATGAACCAGTGGTTTATGAATTCGAGTTCAGTGGCCGAGCTATTTGGTGGTCAAACGACCCGAGACTGTAGGTCTCATGAAAAGGTTAAGGAAATGGCAGAGTTTATTCCCATTAAAATGACTAATTTAACCAGATTTTCATATTTATTGCAAACTATCTTAATAATAGCGGTCTTAACATTGATTTATGAATGTATATCCAAAGCGTGTAATAAATATGAAATAATTATAGTTAAGAAGAATTTCTATCAATATAATCAATATTAACAGTTGTTTACATACAAACTATTAATTTATACAGTGTAGAAGTATGAGCAGGATAATGATTTTATTATTTAGCTCAATTATGTTCAATTATATGTTTATATCAAGTAAATTATGCATTCTTTACGAGTTATATTAAGGCTTAATAATTAAGCAGATGTAGTCCTGGGAATATACAATATTGGATTTTATTGGTTTTATAGATAATGTAAAGTTTGAGTCAATTTTAGATTCTGATTATTATGCATAAAATCAATGAAAAAAATACATAAATATATAATACAAGTTATATAATTATTGCTTTAATCATAATTATTAATTTTAAAAACTATTTTGTATCAAATCTATTCACAATAACAGCAATTATTTAAATAAAATGCAAATTTTAAACAAAATTACTATAATTTCATAAATAAAAACTTCATTGTATACTAATATACTAATAATTATTGATAATATACATTGTAATATTGAATACTGTATTATAATATAATGGAAAAGTCACACATCGAGTGACTGTCAATGAATCGGTTTAATCAATAAATATCTCATAATTCATTTTGGGCTATAAATGTAATATTTCTTGATAGGTAAATTTTC